AGTGTATCTTAATACTTAGTCTTAAGTTTTTCTAATAAATCTATCGGAACTTAGACAAGAATTTAAATTACAAAAGAACTGTTTCAATGTTCACCTCGTTTAAATTTTTTCTTATTTTGCTTTTTGAAGGATTTCAACAACGGATTCTCGTGCCCGTTTAATTGTTATTACTATCAAACAGAATTTTGCCCAATCTTATATCAGCAAGACTTAACTTACGGGCTTTGTAAAAATAAAATCACCATTCAAAAGAAAAACAAATTTAAACAAATAGAACAATTTTCACTCTCTCGCATATCCACTTAAAACAAACTTATAAGTGGCTATCACAAACTGAGATTGATTCTATAATAAGCTTGACAAATTTACATTAACAGACTTAATTGACAGAATGAATTAAATGAAGAGAAACTGCACTTTTCAATAAATGCATATAAGAATGGTTTTAATGGTTTTTTTATCTGGGGCTTTTCATCCAGTTGAGCCATAACAGTACTGAATCATATGGAGAATGCGATGTATAAGGATATGGGTGAATCTCGAAACATCAGTAATGACAACAGCGTGGTTAATTTTGGACTTTTAATCCACAACCAATACGGTGGATCAAGAATGGATTGAGGTATGGGATTATGCTTTAAAGGGTGGAATACGTTTGTAAGCCCCTGGAACCTCGCCAACAAACTTCCAAGCGGAAAAATAAGCACACCCTTTTCTATTTTATCGATTAGACTGGCGGGCTTTGTGCGTAAAATCGAAACGGTCCTGGAAATGGTGTGGCCCTTAGGGAATCTGGCAATGTTGTGAACACTGGAGGGAAAAATGAATTCTCATCTAATCAATGATTGCCGGCCAAACCTTATTACGATGTAATAAAACCAAGACACGTTCAGAAATAAGCCGCAAAACTTATTTGTACCGCTTTGGGCAAATAGAAAGTAAAATTATTGATATTGAGCAATCACAGATGGTCTGTCGCGATTATCTGCATACACATGATTTCAAGCCGTCATTATGAACTCCTAATATAAAAATGAGATTACTAATAAACTATGAACGGAAAGAGACTGCGATTTGATAATACTAAAACCAAATTAAGCTTAAGATCGATATCTTAATAAAGATAAGCCATGAAAAATCGGACAAGAAATATTTCACGACCTTCATTTGTAAAAATTTAGTATGCAAATAAACCAATTACGCAATTTTAAAAGTTGGATCTCGACGCTAAATCCCACGAGCTCAAACCCAGCGCATAAACAATATGTAAGAGCATAGGAGGGGGATGAAATAATCTTATTTTTCAATCTGTGTTAGAAAGTAATCTCCTGTCGAGCTATCTTGACTACAAAGAGCAAGACTTAAAAACTAAGAGTCAATCCTACTAACAACGTTAAAAAAGTCATATTTGACGCACTAAATTGCTGATTAATTGAACAAAAACATGTAATAGATATTTTTTAGCTTAAATCAAAAAGGCAGAAAAGTTGTTTGACCTTGTCAATTGTTGAGAAGGAAGTGACTATGCTTGTTTTTAAATTTGCTCTTACGTAATAATTTGGATGTTGGTTGATGTATTATTACATCTGTTTTTATCATGATCGTCATAATTTTCAGAAAAAAATAGGGCTTGAATAATGAAAATTATACTTTCTCTATTTTCTCCCGCTTTTCTTCTTGAAAGATATTTTGATGTTTTAAATGATTACGCAGCACAAATCATAACTATCGTTAACAATGGCTTAGATAATCCATTTATCGAATACTGAATAAAACATAAAAGGAGTTTCACGGTAGTAAAGTTTTTTTTAAAATCTTGGTTATGTTTTTTTTTGTCCAAATCACCAAGGCCAAGATTCTACAGATAATACGATTTTTCACTCTTTGGTCTCAAACATCATTCAAATTTAGGCATGAGTGATGTTTAAATATTCACATAAGATGGATTTCCCGACCTGAACGGATAGGGTCGACGGCCGAAACCCTCAGAACCGAATGCCATTACATCTGAATCTGGGTTTTAAGGGCGAAAAAATACACTTAATTCCGATATTGTAAGCGTACCTACTGAATACCTAAAAGTACTTGTATTTCATGTTGATGATTTTGAGTGGGGTCAAATTTTTCGTGAAAAATGTACCTACTGAAAAAAATGTATATGTAAATGAATATGGTAGACATTGTACACATGTTCCGTAAGTTGTGAGTGAATAAAATCTAATGTACGTTTTTTCGTTTAACTCGTCGTATATTGGTAACTATAAATTTTTTTCTAATTTTACATTTTACAACCAAAAATTTCTAGTATACATTTTTAACGTGATGTTAATACACCCTATAGAGGGTGTGCTTTTGAAATGGCCCGGCTGAATTTCTCTTGTACCCATATACAACTTTACGTACGTTTAATATTTTTTAGTCTAGTTTCAAATTTTTACCTTTTTTGGAGAAAAATTATACAGGGTACCTAAGGTCCAGTTCAACTTCAAAATTTCAAATTCGACTCTATATATCCTGACACATAATTTTAACGGATTTTTACGCTGAAAACAATGGTGCAATCGGAGTTTAAATTGGTCAAAAAATGACAAAGCTATGGCAAAAAGAAACCGGCAGCGTAATTTCGATGAGGAGATGAATATTTTACTGTATAATCGCGAAAAACTGAATTCTTTTTTCCGAAATGTTCGAAGAGTTTTATGTTTGTCAAAAAATAAAACTAGAGATGTACTCCGGGCATACAATTTTAAGTCGTATCACTCTCTTCTGATCCAGGGACTTCCGGACTCTGTTTATGACAGACTCTAACGTTCCTTACACACATATCGATTTGGGAGCGTGAAGGAAACGTTCTTACATACATCCTATGGACTGATGAATCCAAGTCTCTAATGTCATACTAAACCGATGGAATTTTCTAACGTGCGCAGAGGAAAATCTGAGAATTTCGTAATCTTGTCATCATCAGGTGGTTCACAGTATCAACGTTTGGTTGTATTGTGTTAGGGTAGTTTTTGAAATTTTGAAGTTGAACTGGGCCTGAGGTAGCCTGTATAATTTTAAAAAAGGTAAAAATTTGAAACTAGACTAAAAAATATTACATACTTTTTTTTTTGATAGCCACATTTGGTTCAAGAAAAATTCAGCCGGGTCTTAAAAAAGATACCCTGTATACCTACAAATGTTATAGCCACGTTAGCGGCTCTGGGTTGGAATCCTAGCATAGCACTTGCCTTTAGTAGGACTATGCCAGATATAAGAATTGTGCTAGGGTGCTGAAGCGAATCTTTGGGGGGGGTTCCCTACTCCGATTTTTAAAGGAAACTGGGTTAATTCTATATAAATAGGTCTTTTGTTTATTGCAGTTAATTCTATTGTTATATTATACTAAAACGTTTTAATTGTTTCGTGAGAATGTCATTATATGCGTGAATGTGTGTGAAGTACAAGAAGAGTGACGATGGCCGAATATCATGTACCCTAACGACCTTTAATCAGACTAGGTATTGGAAGTATAGTTGTTTATGTGTGTGATGATGGGTGATAGAGAATATTTTCACTTGAGCGAATGTATGTAAATATGGGGGAACGTATTTAAAAAGTGAGTGGTAGGGTGAGTCTGTTTAGGTGCGTTGGGGGCTGAAATTAGGCTGAGTGAGTAAAAGTGTCAAGTACGGATAAGACCAACGGCTGACCCAGGTTCACCAAAACATGTAAGTCCTCGCGGCTTGTCACGAAGCCGTAATTTCGGTTTGCACAAGTGCAGTATGTTCACAAGTGCATATATGGGCAGAATCGTGTCTGTACGAATAAAACCCACTGACATGAAAAAGATATTGTAAAATCGTTTCATCCCTAATGTGCAAATGTATGGGTGTGATTGTATATATGTTACGTAAATTGTGAGTACATCCAATCTATTTAAAAATATACCTTTTTTTGTTAAACTCTTCGTTTATAGGTCAATATAAAATTTTTCTTCATTTCAAATTTCAACCAAAAATGGCTAGTGTATATTTTTCACATGAAGTTAGATACACCCTACAAATGGAAATACCTACAAATAAATAATAGCCTTGGTAGCGGTTCTGGGTTCGAATCTCGTGATAACGACTTTTCAAATGAGAATGGTTTGAAAAAATATTGCTAAATAGACCTTGATTATTTGGAGATCATGAGATGCGGTCTGGTGAGACGTAGGTTTTTGAAAAACATTTTCTTTATCGTGCCAACGTTTCGATCTTCAACAATGTTTGTAAATCCCAAGCGCTGAAGATAATCTCAATAAAGATCGAAACGTTGGCACGATAAAGAAAATGTTTTTCTAAAACCTACGTCACACCAGACCGCAACTCACGATCTCCGAATAATTGCAAAATGGTTTGACTCCCCTCGTCAGCGACGTAAAACTGGTAAGTTGGACGACAAGCCCTCCTGTACAACAGGGATTACTGTAACTTTAATTTACATACAAATATATATGCGATTTTCGACTTTCAAAACAATAAACACCGAGTAATATTTCTGAAAATAATTGTTACAATGTTCATAACATGCCGATTTTGACCATATTGCTCTGTAATTTTAAAAATCCTTAATTGGAAGTGGGTTGCTCTGGCATAATAGGTAAAACATCAATTAGCAAAGTTTTTTGAAGTTTGCGAAATATTTTTGAACAATATTTCTACCCACTGTAAAGTTTAGTTTTGCAACTAGTTCTACACACTACCTGCGACGTAAAACTGTCAACCATGCAGGTACAGGTAGTACTTAGCACTTCGAGCTTATTCACAATAACATTAGTTTAAAGCTCAGATTTTTTCCAAATGGAAAAAATCGTTATATACTATTTTCAGAGGAAAATGGTAAGAAAAGGTTTTTCCAACAAAATTTGTTTCAAGCACACCCACAGCTTCAAATCAAAACAAGATAATGACTCTTTTTTATTTATTTTTTAATATATTCATTTGTTATATGAAGTTTTATATCAAGACACTTACCGCCTCTAGACAGCCATCTTTCATCTGTCATTCCGGCGGCACGAGTTGGCAAACCCCCATCTGAAGCCTCCTGCAAAGAAAGATATACATTAGTCAAGTCTATAAAAAATGTAAATAGTACTATGTTAAGAACTATGTTGATTCTATTCTTATGAATTGTAACTTTGATTTTGAACTCCCTATCCCGTTATTAACTTCTTCTGTAGGAGAATATGACCGCATCACCACATTTACCGTTGATTTAATTTTTTACTTTTAAATTAAGGTCAGAAAGCAACGTCTGAGTCTGCAATTAACAGTTCTGGTCCAATCCGATCAACACAGGTCGGTTATCTCGCGACTGTATAATTTTGCACCGAAAAGCAGGAAAATGATAGAAAAAACCTAAACATTAAAGAATCGCGCTTTCTTCGTCTATCGGCGATCCTTTTTTGGTCGTTATTTGTCACTTATGACGAAACGTTAATAAATAAACAACTGGCGTCATGCGAGTCAAAGGATAGACGGTTTTGAACGTACAGGTAACAGACGAAAATATAAAACAAATTAAGTTGATTTATCATGCTGCATGTACTAAAAAGGCTACTGAATCACACACATGATACCAAAAATATGTATATTTATAAAAGTTAAAAATAAAAGTCTTGAAAATTAATTTTCTAAAGCTATAAATAATCTAATCGATTTATGCCACGCCCACATTTTTATTTCATTTCGTTACCAATCAATTTAGAAACACAAAAATGAAAACAGATTGATGGAAAAAATGAACATCTAACTCAACAATTTATATTAAAATTTCTCCTTTACAAAAGTTGAAATATATGAAATTTACTTTGGTTTACAATAACTGACATTTCATAGCATATAACATTTTGCGCGAGGTTTCATGTAATTTTTAGTAAATTGATTTTTAACTTTTGATATGTACTATGTTACACAATGGACTTATATATGTAGTATAATATATGTTGGTGACATCGGTGCAAACGCTCGATGCTTCATTTTAGAAGGACTATTTTTAATTTCGGCCAGGACAATGATTTGATGGTGTGTAACAAAAGTTGATTGTCCATAGGATTTCACGGTGTTCTTTTTGTTTCTTCCGCATCCTCTGTAAAGCAATCTCTGAAAAGGTTTGTGACCTTTGGTTTAAAAAGCGATCCAATCCTAGCCCCTTAGAAGCAGAAATAGTTTTAAAAGGCACATTCCGAAAAACACACTGGAGGCTTACTACGGTTATTTTTAGGGCCTAACCTTTTCCTACCGTGTCATTCCCTACGAAACGGTCGATCGTTTGTCAGTACGTGCACGACTGTTTTAATTTCAAGATTGACAAAAATTAACTCCACAATTTCCTTAGCTAAATTTAAAAAAAAGTATTACATATGTTGTTAAGTTGTGTTAGCGGATCGATGAACAAGAGTCAGCAGTTCGACTCTGATCAATCCAGGTCTGTCCTCTCCCCATTTGTCAGACATATAACGGCTTTTGCCATTTTCTTTCCAAGCCAGGCCGTATTTGTTATGAGCAACTCAACGAAAAACAGCAAAGAGCGAGCAGAGTAGAGAGTTCAAAAATGATTAAACATCTTTCTTAACCGTACGAAGTTAATTTAAGTATCTTTAATAATCAGTCAAATATATAATACAAAATAAATATGTAATATTTAGTGACCGTTAGTTAATGATTATTCGGAGATCGTGAGATGCGGTCTGGTGTGACGTAGGTTTTAGAAGAACATTTTCTTTATCGTGCCAAGGTTTCGATCTTTATTGAGATCATTTTCAGGGTTCAAAGTGTTTGTTTTCCCTGAAGATGATCTCAATAAAGATCGAAACGTTGGCGCCTTAAATAATGTTTTTCAAAAACCTACGTCACACCAGACCGCACCTCACGATCTCCGAATAATTATACAAATAAATATTATATCGACTTTTGATATAAATACAAGAAGAATTCAATTTTCTTTAGAAAGTCACAAAGAAACAAAAAAAAATTAATATGAGAACTTTATCTTGTGCGTTTTGTCTTATATTTATTTCCTGCAAGTACACGACGATTAACATTTCCTATTTTCTTGTTCTTTTAGTGAAGGGGTTATATAATAATTTGATGGGGGGGGAAATATTCCAGACATCCATGTGAAATCTGCTTAACCAGCAAAGAAAAATACTGGATATTCCTACCTATGAATTGTCACAAAATTACGATTTACACTGAATTCTTATTGAATAATAGGTAATAAACTCAAGGTTATAGCATATTTCAGGGAAAAATGAAATACATATTGAAAAATTAGTCACGGAATTACTTAATTTTTCTATATTAAAGCCATCTGTACGCCTTTTCCCCTATAAATTCGCTAAGGTATGGAGCAACTGTTAAGCAAATATCTTTTCACTTTTTCCCCCCCACACAATATAAAAAGGTAATTTAATTGTCGAAATAAAATCTAAATGTATCTTTAGGCATGGGTAGATATGCTAGTCCAAGTAATTGTTCCTTGGCTGCAATACTGGCTTAGATTGAGAAAAAATGGAGACTCTCGTAATTTCCGCCGTCCCACACATATGAGTCATTGACACAGAACATAATAGCTTATTAAATATTTTGTCAGCATAAGACAGAACCATAGAAGGACCTGGAAGGTGAAGAAATACCTCCACAGACTCTCAACACACACATTTCTTGAGAATTTAAAGTGTTACATGCTGCACTATAAGAAAAAAAATTGACTTACAAGGGATTAAATTAACAAACACGGATGTGGGAAGATCGATTTTAATGATACCTTTGCGGTTATATGATGTCAAAAATATTTGAAGAGTGTCCGAACTTTCTTGCAAATGGGGTCCTAGGGGTCTAGAAAAAAAATGTTTTAAATACTTTTTTCATGTAGTCTTCTACCTTTGTATTGCATGTATTATGCTCATATCTGACTATATTTTTACGTAATTGAAAAAAATAATAAGTAGAATCGTACACTTTCGTATAACTTTGCGACGACGTTCTGTCACAAATTATGTATTTCTATAACTACGATAACCATACTACTAGCTGCCAAGCATAATTTTGAGGACGAGACCGAACGACATAGGTTAAAATACCTTTTTTCGCCCCCAAAAAACCCTGAATACAAATTTTTGGGACATAAAAAGAATTTTTTCCTCAAATTTCCAATGCCTTTTTTTTCGAAAATCACAAAAATAGTGATAACTTTAAAATAAATCCCATGAAACATGAAGAAATTTTACAGGGATTTAGAACCCTATAAACTGCATGTAGTGGCATAAATTTGCCTTTAAATTTTAAAATATACATTATAATTACAGATCAAAACTAAAACGCTTCAAGAGTTTTTGTTGAGTTCAACCTTATTTTTCACGAATAGTCTGCATCTCGGTATGGTATGGATGAAAAACAAATCCAATTGTTACCTGCCAAGCTTTCCACTTATTTTATGGTCATCGTCACGTTAAAACAATCTTAAAAATGTCTACAAATTGACATAATTAAGTTTTTAATAGATGGTTTCAATTTTCTTTGAAGATCGGCTCAGACTTAATATTGTCAAGGACTATCGATATTTTGGTAACGACCAAATTTCGGGGCCATTACCCTGCAGACAACATGGAGAAATCTCCCTAAGGTGTATTGGTTATACACTGAAGATTTCATTACAACTTCCAGAATGAATTAATTTTATTTGTCCATAAATAGTAAATTAAATCATTTCTTAACAATTAGCCAATTACTGTGATGTATTTAAAATGCTAATATTATACAAATATAGGCTTTAAAGAACTTTTTGTTTATTCTTTAATGGCTTTACTCTCAGTTCATTTAGATAAAGCTCTAACTCTCGTAGGATTGAACTAATTTTTAACATAAATTGAACTTATTCCTTTTATAATTATTAATTATTTATCAAAGATTTATTTCAACCAGGTATACAATAGGAATCCAAGATTGCAAGAGAAATCAGTCATTTGTCAACTGATCGAACGAAATATTAAAACTATCATGTAAGTATAATTACATAGGAATAAAATATTTTATTATCATATAAAATTGTGTTTAATCTCTATTAGAACTTGAGCATTTAAAATAGTTTAGCAGAAATTCACACCCGAGGAAAATGAAAAATTTTATTCGACTGCACAACAACGACAATTTTAATAAAGCTCTCAGATATACAGTTGGCCTACTGAGCTTTCGTAGATATAACACCTTCTAATTAGTTATCTGTTAGACTGAATATATTACGACCAGGTACTATATCAATCAACCTTAGAGAGCAGCATTGGAGTGGGTGTTCACCACGGGCACGTGGTGGGTCTTACACTATTTAACATTCTTTACATACTGCACTAAAGACATCAACTCGTCTTCGTACTTGCATTGTTCGCTGATGAGGCTGCGCTTGTACTAGCCTCTATAGAATTATTACCACATCTAATGAAAAACAGTAGAAAAATGTTTCAAATACAACCAAAAATATAGAAAGGCAGGACAACAGGACCTACTTTGTTGAAAACCATCCCATGGTCGACCAGGGTAATATCTTGTCGTCTACTTGGACAATAAAATAAATATTGGCTTCCATGTTCAGCGAAATTGATTCACACCAAAAGATTATTGTCCTACACATCTCCTGATTAAATACCTAAGCATCTAATTCAAAATAAAGTTTTAAGAATAGGATACTTTCTGAGGTGGACTAAGATTGACTATATGCATATTCCAATAAATATTGTCAGTATTTCTATACAGACAATTTAAAAAAGAGGTTTGCGCTGTTAAATTAATCCCACAATGTACATTAAATTATTAATTATTAATTAATATTGTATTTAATAACCATAGAAGCAAGCAGCTAGATACTACTGTGGTAGTAATATTTGTAATATAAATTCCTAACCTGAAAACCCTAATTATTTACTGTAATTAAAAACTGTGATACATCTTTAGAAGTATTTATTGTTAACAATACCTACTAGTGCCTTAGTTATGCATGCGATAATATATGCAATGTACGAATAAGATTGAGGTTTTTCTAATTTAATC